AATGAGGCATGAGGACAAAATGCTCCAATAAGCATTGCTGCACATTTTCTGGTTATATTTTGTAGGTAAAGTTCTAGAAGTGCTCGGTCAGAGGGCAATGCGCACAAAACTGTGACAAGTATGAAAGCATAACCAGAACAGCCAGGACATGGAGATTCCTGAGGTGGGTTAGGGAGAACAGAGGACGACATGCAATAGCCTCCAGGCTACCTGGATTCCACGATTAGGTGAAAGGTAATGTCATCAGACAACAAAAAGAAGTTAATGACCAAGGCCAGAGCTGGGGGAGCTGGAGACCCCTTACGTGGTGAAGAAACACGAAAATCAAGAACAAACCCCAGGGGCTTCCCTGGTGGCGCAGTGGTTGAGAGTCCACCTGCCGATGCAGGGGACACGGGTTCGTGCCCCGGTCCGGGAAGATCCCACATGCCGCAGAGCGGCTGGGCCCGTGAGCCACGGCCGCTGAGCCTGCGCGTCCGGAGCCTGTGCTCCGCAGCGGGAGAGGCCACAACAGTGAGAGGCCCGCGTATCGCAAAAAAAAAGAACGAACCCCAGGAAACACCAGCACCAGGAGCCAGAGGACGAAGGAGCAGGCAGAGGGGTTAAGAGGTTGAACTGGGGTCGAGTGTCACAGAAGCCAAAAAAGGAAAGGGCTTCAAGGAGAGAGACCCACAGTGTCAAACGATACAGTGGGATCAGCGAAGAGTAAAGAAAGTGCTCATGAGATCTGTGTGCTGGGGTGGGGGTGGGGGGGGATCATCCAATCACTTCGGTAAGAAAAGTTCCAATGACAAAGGTAGGAAACAAAAGTTACAACGAAGCAGGCTGAGAAAAAAAAAGGGAATCAATAACATTAAGAACACCTGCCCTGGGACTTCCCTGGTGGTGCAGTGGTTAATACTCCACGCTCACAATGCAGGGGGCCTGGGTTCAATACCTGGTCCGGGAGCTAGATCCCACATGCATGCCACAACCTCTAAGAGGCCCTTGAGCCGCAACTAAGACCCGACGCGACCAATTAAATAAATAATAATTATTTTTAAAAAAGGAAGGAGAAGACACCTGCCCTTTCAAGAAGCTTAGCTGTGAAGGACAGGACAGGGAGCGGGGAGGCAGAGCGCCGGAGCCCGGGAGGAGTCAGGATGTGCCCGCTGTCTGCAGGGACTGAGCTGAGCGCAGAGACACACCGAGAGGCAGGGGCGGGGGAGAAAGGCGGAGGACCTCAGGCAAGAGGGCAGGAGGGGAAGAGCGCTTAGATGGGGGTCAGGACACAGACAAAAATGCAGCGAGTTCAGACATCCAATCTCAAGTTCACAGCATCCAAACCCAAATTCACAGCATCTGGTTCTGTACTTGCTCACAGGGTTAAATGCACAGCTGACTGAGAATGAGGTGGGGAGCTAGAGCCATGCTCTTCAAACTGTGTTCACAGGCGCCACCTGGGCATCCTGCTATGGGCACATTCTGACTCAAGGACTGAAACGCTCACATGCCGGCAGGGGACGCAGAAGCCGGGAGGAGGACCACACTCTGAGTCACAAGGACCCACAGGGACTGAGAGTACGGCGCCGCTCTAGACCGACCACAGACGAACGGGAAGCCCCACCCGCTTGAAAAAGTTGGGCCTTGCCAAGGAATCATCTTTGGCAGAGAAGGAAATAAAAGTTTCTGGCTGTTTGCCTGAGCATCTGTTTCTGCCCCGGAATAGCCGGTTGAGCTTCTCACCAGCTGCCAGGTAGCCAGACGGTTTCCAGCTGGGGCTGCTCCAGAGGATGAGGGCCTGAGGGGCAGCTCCCCTGCTCAGAGGATCCGGGCTTCACTCCACCTTGTCCTTTACACCTTAGAGTTGCAAGAGGAGAACTCTGAAGTCCCCTGCAGGTGCGTTACTGCTACAACCAGGGACCTGAGGGGTAAATGTCTTCCTGTCTTACTGCAAAGGACAGACGTGGTCAGTGAGGAGATGCAGGAGTAGAGTTAACATCTGGCCACCAGCAAAATGCCTGACAACTTGTGGACTTCATTCAAAAAGTCTTCATTTGAAATTGTATTGACAGAATGTCCTTGGGCTCCCCTGGTGGTGCAGTGGTTAAGAATCCGCCTGCCGGGGCTTCCCTGGTGGCGCAGTGGTTGAGAGTCCGCCTGCCGATGCAGGGAACACGGGTTCGTGCCCCGGTCCGGGAAGATCCCACATGTCGCGGAGCGGCTGGGCCCGTGAGCCATGGCCGCTGAGCCTGCGCGTCCGGAGCCTGTGCTCCGCAACGGGAGAGGCCACAACAGTGAGAGGCCCGCGTAACACAAAAAAATAAAATAAAAATAAATAAATAAAAATAAAAATAAGAATCCGCCTGCCAATGCAGGGAACACGGGTTTGAGCCCTGGTCCGGGAAGATCCCACATGCCACGGAGCACCTAAGCCCATGTGCCACAAGTACTGAGCCTGCGCTCTAGAGCCCGAGAGCCACAACTACTGAGTCCGCATGCCACAACTACTGAAGCCCGTGCTCCGCAACGAGAAGCCACCACAATGAGAAGCCTGCACACCACAACGAAGAGTAGCCCCCGCTCTCTTGAGACTTAGAAATTTTCAGTTTTTTGAGTCAAATCAACTTATTAGTATTTTCTCCAAAATACCCTGAGTTTCACTAGAGTAGTTTTATAGACTTTTAAAAAAAATATTCATTTATTTATTTGGCTGCGCCGGGTCTTAGTTGAGGCATGCGGGATCTTCGTTGCCACGTGTGGGATCTTCGATGCGGCATGCAGGATCTTTTGGTTGTGGCATGCATGTGGGATCTAGTTCCCTGACCAGGGATCAAACCCAGGCCCCCTGCATTGGGACCATGGAGTCTTAATCACTGGACCACCAGGGAAGTCCCTAGAGTAATTTTAAACAAAATAATTCATGCCCTAGATCAGAGGTCAGCAAACTTTTCCTTAAAGGTCCAAGAAAGTATTTTCAGCTTTGTGGGCCCCCTCTGTTACAGCCACTCAGCTCTGCTGCTGTAGAGCCCCGAGAAGCCACGGATAATACGGAAACAAATGGGTATGGCTATGTCCTAATAAAAAGGCATTTACAAAATCAGGGGGTCAGCCAGCCCTGCTCTAAATCAAACTGTGAATCACAACTAGATTTAATTCCAGTAGTTAAGGAAAATACCTAATAAAATCTGAAGTTTAATATAGTATGGAACTGCCTACCAGTTTTTTAAAACATCGTTTTCTAAAATCAGTGATCAGTGATAAAACTGCAAAACTAAAATATTCTCTGAACTACAAACCATATAGAATGTTTCTAATTTACATAAAATGGAGAAACAGTGCCTAAAAAAGGCACTATTCAGTTTAGAAAGAGTAATTCAAGCCCTTAGAATCGTGGTGAACAGTGTAGGCTCTGAAGTCAGCCAGACCTGGGTCCAAATTCTGGCCCCAGCCATGGGGTTAGGGCCTCAAATTTCCTTGATGTTAATAGTATCCACCTGGGCTTCCCTGGTGGCACAGTGGTTGAGAGTCCGCCTACTGATGCAGGGGACACGGGTTCCTGCCCTGGTCCGGGAAGATCCCACATGCCGCAGAGCGGCTGGGCCCATGAGCCATGGCCGCTGGGCCTGCGCGTCCGGAGCCTGTGCTCCGCAACGGGACAGGCCACAA